GTGGCAGCCACTGCGGCTTTCTCTCCATAGCACTGTATGTGTGCAAAATGCTGTACTGGAATCAGCGTGTGCATGCGCTTGAGGGTAAGTTTCTGAATGGGGAACTTGCCCCTGTGTGCATGCAAACTGTACTATAGAGCCAAGATCTGAAACAAATATGAAGATCAGGACTTCCCACATTTTCAGGAATAAATCTGCAATGCTGACTTCCATAGATCTCATAGAAGGTTTCCTCTAAATACCCAAAGAAGACAAAGAGGAGATGAGATTATACAGGCGCTCAGAAATTAGAGTGGACAGCCCAGACATGCCGGCACTTGGAAACCGACAGCTGAGCTCAGCGTTGCCTGAGTGTGACCTTTCCTGGAAGCATCACCTTTGCAGAACAACAATATATACATTCCATTCATACATTATTAATATAAGAAAAGATTCCTGGATCGACTCATTGGTGCTCGAAGAAGCCCCTATCCGTTACACACAAAACACATCATTTCTGAGGTTTGGATGGAGTTCAAGTGTCAATCCCGATCCTTCGTACTGCCTGGAATCTAAGGGAGACCACCTCCAACATGCTACACGTCTATGGGTGTTAGCCCAGCTCCTCACGTCTCCATGTATTCCTATGGACAATCGGACAGATGGTAGAATTCATGTGCCTTCTCTAGGACTATCCTTATAATGAGACTGTTGCCTCAGGCGGCATTTCTTTGGGTCATGTTGGGGGCCACAGGCTGAAAAGGCATGGCCGCTCTGCTGCACAATGTTTGCAGTGTTCTTGACACCCCCTTTCCAGCCAAAATGCCCCAGGCTGCTAAGTGTTGGGCAGGGAAATGTGTAAGAGACCCTCTGGCTGGCGTCCCGCTGAGGTCCTGGCAACCATTGATGTCAGTGAGCTGGGAAGGACACCGGCCAAAGCAATAGCCTATATAGCCAGATCCTTTGACAGGGCTGGAGTTTAGCTACCCCTGTTGTAAACTAAGAACACAAAGCGCACAGCTCACCCCTATCATGTGTCCCCACAATCCACACATGGTGCACGAATGACTCTTCTGGAGTGATCGGCTCAAAAACTGTAGAACCAGCACACGATGATCTTCCAAATAAATTCAAACTTTATTCCACATGCATCAATACAAAGAACAAACCCATGCATCTATACAAAGAACAACACAACGTAGGTTGTGTTCTGGGTGCTGGAGCCGGGAGTTTTTGTAGAGTCTTGGGTTGGATAAAGCCTCCATTTCTGGGGTCACATTTTACGTGGTAGCCAGATTTCATTTTAGTCTCAGCTGTCCACAGGTCTTTATATGTGTAATCTGACTGATGATCAGGGCTCTTTCTCTGCTGCTGGGTGAAAAGGCTGAGTGCTGACAGAACACTAAAAAAACGTGCTGCCGGTTTGTTTTGGGGAACCCATTGGGGGGCACCCTGTTAGGAAATGACTTGAGTTTAGCTAGCTGCTTGGGCAAGAAGATCTTTTTTTGTTTCATGCTATGGACTGGCTCAACAAATTCCTCCTGCACAGAAACTTTGTTTGCTGCCTTCCTGAATAAGCGTGCAGGACAAGCCTGTCTGGACTGTCCCTGTCTTGTACATGTTCACCACTGCCAATAAAAGCCGATTCTGTCCCCTTTACAATACCCAATCATGTGCTATCAGAACTTTCATAGGTGAGAAAGAGGGACAACTTTTAGCACAAAGTATGAAGGCAAAGGACATGCCACAAGTTACAGGGACCATGAAGACATAATACGCCAAAAATGATTGGGTAAACCCACAAGTGCTTTTATTTTCATCGTTACTTTTCCTTTAAATCGGCATTTTAAAATAACAACTGCAAAAATGTTGAGGTTGGATGAAAGGTTTAGCACAGTTTTAGTTCCGGCAGACTGTCCATTTATATTTCTATTGAGGTCTACACATCAGACCAAAAGGAGGGACAACTGGAGAGGAAAGAAGGCTAGAGGGGATTGGTTCCAGAAGAGGGACCATACCTTCAAATAAGGGACAACTGGAGAGGAAAGAAGGATAGAGGGGATTGGTTCAAGAAGAGGGACAGTACCTTTAAATGAGGGACAACTGAAGAGGAAAGAAGGACAGAGGGGATTGGTTCAAGAAGGACAGTACCTTCAAATGAGGCATAGTTCAGAGCTATAAGTTGGATGAAAAAGTTTAGTGCAGAAGTGAAATAATACATTTTTTTTATTTATAGAAGTGTACACATCATACCAAAAGGAGGGACAACCGAAGAGGAAAGAGGGATGGAGGGGCATGGTTCCCGAAGAGGGACAGCCGCAGCTACGAATTTTATTCATTTCATTAAGATTTTTATTTCATATTATTAAAGCTGAACTCCCAAAATTATAAAGGGGGCGGAGACAAGACCAGTCACCCTGCACAAAGAGAGAGAAAGTAGCAGTGATCTGCCTTTATTACAGGAAGCTCCAAGTTTCACACTAGATTACTGCACAGATCTGGAAGAAATACACAAAGCTCACCAAGATTTAGGAAAGTACACACATGGGTCTTGGATTTAGATAATATTTGCTTATCTGGGAGTTCAGCTTTAATTTCACACACAACTTGGTATTCAGATTATACAAATAATATTCAGGCAACACAGATTCACATTATTTACCATCATTCAGGGTGTGAAGTGAACATCCTTTAGTAAATAAACCCCAATGTGTCAAACTAGGACTATAAAGTCCTCCACATGCAGATATTCCTGCATCCCATTAAAACCAAATTCAGGTTGGGGACATGCCAGAGAGTTTAGATATGGATTTTGGTTATGAAGACATGAACAAGCGCTTACCTATATCTCATGCCCGTCTTGCGAGCGGTGCAGTCGTCCAAGGACAGCCCGTGCATTTTGAGGAACTCCTCCATGTTCTTGGCGTGTGCCGCCACCCTGACATCTCGGAGGCGTTGCAGCTCCACCACATCCACCTGATGGACCTGGTTAATGCCCCAGTCCGAGTGGTACCTACTGAGCACGCTTTTTAAGCTCCCGCTGTATGACATGGACAGCATCTTGCTGTCCGTCCTGGGAATCTGTGGATTTTCCAGATGGACAGATTTAGCTTGCACGCGGGTGCGATTCACGGACAAGACTCTGTAGTCGTTACAGGTGGCCCTCTGAGCAACAAACATGTTTGCGAGCTTGTGACCACGTGAAAGAATGAACAATAACAAAACAAAGGTAAAAAGGAAACTTCCAAAAAGCAAACTTGACAAGACAGCTGGGGGACTCAGCTAATTAATGGACCTTACTATACCCCCTTTGTCCAGGACGCCAAAGAGACATGTACACATGCATGTCATTGGTCATCGGATCCCCACAGGTAAATGGATCCAGTCTCAAGAACTTAGGCGGGACAATGCAAGGTGAACTTGATAGGTCTCAACAAAGACAACGTAGTAAACTACAGTCACTTAAGAAGCAAAATTCATGCATAACATAGGGCTCTTAAGAAAATGCATCGTGCCAGTTAGACTTTCAGAACATGCAGATTAAATAATATCTAGATGATGGATGGAGTTACATTCCTGAAATACAAACTAAAATGCAAATATATGCTAAAAGAGTTGTTATGCTTTTTTCATTAGACGGGCTTCAGAATGTCTTACAGATAGAATAGTTTGGTCATAACGTAAAAAAAGAACTCTCCAGCATTTCCAATGGCTTCTATCCAGCTGAATTTTCAAGTGGTAAAAGGGGTAGCTGATCGATCCTCCTGTCTTCAATGCTTTACCACGCATCTATTGGTAGATTTACTGTTACTTGCTCTAGTTCTATCCTATGGTCCCCCTCATGGTTTTCCATGAGACCCTTAAAGAAGAACTCCAGGGTTTTGAAAAGTTAAAGCGACACTAAACTCAGGAGTTAAATCTTAAAAATATAGTCAAGTTCCTTAAATATTAACAACAATGCATCTTATTTGTGTATCACCCGGCTCTGCCATGCTGGCGAGCTGCAGCTCCTGCTGTGATGGTGGGGCTGGTGACTCTGATGTGAAGGGGGGATTGGGGACCCTGCTGTGAAGGGGGGGACTGGGGACCCTGATGTGAAGGTGGGACTGAGGACACTGATGTGACGGTGGGACAGAGGACACTGATGTGAAGAGGGGGACACACTGAGGATACCGATTTAAAGGTGGGACAGAGGACTCTGATGTGAAGGGGAAACTCTAATTTGATAGGGGGGACGATGATGTGAAAGGGGTTGCAGATGATGTGAAAGGGGGCTACTACTGTGAGAGGGAGAGTCTCTGATGTAAAAGGAAGTGTCTTATTTTTTTCTGTATTTTTGCATGGGGATCCCACTTTAAAATCCATATCAGACCCCTATCTGGGACAAGGGTCTAGCATTGATTTTGAAGGGGCCACATGTCGTTTTTTTTACAGTAGTACACTAACGTATTATAGATTTTCGACTGGTTTGCCATGGAGTGTTGCATAGTTTTAACAGGTGCCATGACTGAAAAAAGGTTGAGAAACGCTGGACTACAGGACAGGAAGTGAAAAGAAATCTCATAAAAAACAAAATAAAAACTGATAAAAATTAATACATTTTGGCTTCATATAAACTTTGAAGAGGACAGGGCAGAAGCTTGAACATTGCCCTTTGCTAGCAACTTAATCTAAATAATTACCATTAATAGCCTGTTTACCATTCTTCAAGCAGCTGCCTACCCGGGACATAATGATATTCTGCATGTGAAGACAGCCATTTACTTTGATCTGAGGAACGTAGCCCCTTCGTGTAGCAGATAATGTTCAGGCGTTAATTCAATACTTCACTGGGTAATGAGAGGAAACGCACAGAAATGTCATCTGGCTACAGATGCTAATTGAGGATTGTTTGCTTCCAAGAAACCGGAATCTGACTAACATGTAAGATCGCGTTTTCCAAGTTCACTAAGAGGCAAAGGGCGAAAGTGTGCAATCCATATACAAAGCGGTACCCGTGTCTAAAGGCAGTGCTAGAAGATTGCAATGGTGGATTTGAATAGTGTTAGTCTCAGTTCTGCATGTGTTATGCATCTTTGTTGTGGCCCATGAAGGTGAAATAAATTATAGGTTGCGAGGGGATGGGGGCATGTTGTCAGTCCCTATAGTGAGGCAGCATCTTGGGCTGACGTGGCATCTCATTGGGTCACATGGGGGGGGGGCAGCTAACTGCTTAGCAACATGTGATGCTCAGGCTGTCATCCTACCCAGCACCTGGCAAGCAGTGACATCACTGAGCTGCTGGGCGAGACTCTGGCTGCCACCCCCCCGGTGTAATGTGTCCACTAGCAACAACCT